CGCCATAGCTCCAGCTTCGTCTTCGGGAGGTCCACACCTGCATCAAGCCGGCACCTTTCTGCAGGTTAGTACCTGGCATGGCATGGAGAGAGAGACAGACAGACAGACAGACAGACAGACAGACAGACAGACAGACAGATGGAGAGAGAGAGAGAGAGAGAGAGAGAGAGAGAGAGAGAGAGAGAGAGAGAGAGAGAGAGAGTATTTGAGTTTCCGCCTCATGTATGCTTCATGTGTGAGGACTTCCATGATGTGAGTGTGGTGTGAAATTGTCATGCATGGATGGTCTCAAAGCAATAGAGGAGGGGCGTATGGCGCGACTTGTTGGCTGTTGTCATTGATAAATTATTTGCATTGACTTAACACGTACGCGCATGGTCTTCCAATTCCATTTTGGAGGAATCATGAGATCACCTCACTTCCATTTTGGAGGACTCATGAGATCACCTCATAAGAGTCATAACTTCATTTCTTTTTGAGAGGGCAATTCAATCAAGAGATTACCTCATAACTTTTTTGTGCCATCTCGTCGTTGCCTTGACTTTCATGAACTGAACCTATTGCAATGGAGAAGAAAAGAAGACCCTCAGTTGGAAGGACTTGAGTTTCTTCTGCCGCTCCACTTTGTTCGCACATGGTCTTCCACTTCGATTTTGCGTCATCAAATTCCTGCTTCGCTTGCTGCACCACACTCGTCTCAATCCGTCCAATCGGCAAGAATCACATGTACGAGGAGCCCAAATCCAATACAAAACATCAGCAGCCAATCACAATCGTACGCTTACTGCAGCCAATCACAATCGTAGACTTAAATTCAAATAACAGAAAGGTGCAACAAATAAAGAATAAATGGGCTATCCTGGATTTGAACCAGAGTCCTCGCCCGTGAAGTAAGTCACCGTGGCAACTTATTGATTGCGCTTACTGCAGCCAATCACAATCGTACGCTTACTGCAGCCAGAGGCCAACACATATCAGCAGGGACTTTCTTGGGTTCGATAGCTGGCAGCCTGCGCTCAAATTGGCTATCACAGTATGAGCCGATGCTCATGGACTACCCTCTGGTAGGGATATGGTTCCATATATGGTCAAGTTGTCAAATATCTATGAACTACAAGAGGGCACTTTGGCAAACAAAGTTTAACAAACGATAAAAATACACAAGACAAACATGAAGAGCACACTGAAACCATTCATTTTTATCATTCTTCTTTCAACTGACCTTTTATTGTGCCTCTCGCGTACACGGCTCGCCATGTTGATGAAGTTGAGCACGAGCTGCCCGCATCCGTGTGTGCCATAACGGCCCACTTGTACGATGTGAGAAAGAGGCAGAGTAAAGGGGGGGAGAAGGCAAACACAGAGAAGAGATGAAGAGAAGCTCTTTCCCTGGTATGATTACGATTTACAACCCTCGGGGTGTATGTGGGGAAGATCAGCATCAAGCTGGAGGGCAATTGCCAGGAAGTCTGACGATGTATAAAACGGGCGGGCAGTGGAGAATGTTTCTTTTTTTTTTTTTTTTTTTTTAAACAGGTCCTTATGGTCCTGGCTCCATATCCATTCTGGGGAGCATCAGTCCGGTTACTATTCCCCCGGCAAGTCAAAAATGAATACATCATCAACCCACTCACGCTTCCTTCCGTTTGGCCGAAGGAACCCCGACCAGCATTGATTGCTCCCATTAGGAGGATTGACTGTCAGCTTGCCTTCCACTGCAATCCCTCTCAGATCCCTCTGTGGGAATCTGTCAAATAATCTTAACACAACAAGGAAAATGGAGAGCGGCCCGAACGTTGCTATTTCGACCACCATTAGTGTCTTGTGACTCATGTATATGTCCTTATGTCGCCTGTGGGTCCTGCTGGCAGCCCGCAGCTTGTTGCAGTGGGCTTCTCCGGCTAATTTCCGAGTTGTGCCAGTCTTTCCAGCTCAATCTGCCTTCTCTTAGCTCGGCCACTTTTCCTCCCACCAGCCACACTTTGGTAAACTTCGAGAGGATAGTATTCTGTCTCTCATCGTCCTCGGGGAGTGTCTGTTTCGTTTAGTGCCATCTGCATAGGATCTCCGCCTGAATCAGTGTCCTGGTTTCTGTCCACACCTTTTCTCTTGGTGTTAATAACCCTTCAATCGTTCTGCTGCACCTCTCCTTCCATATAGCCCATAGCGTGACTTTCCTGATCATACCGTACCATATCTTCTCTGAGCTGTTGAGGTCAGTCGGGATATTAGTCCATAGTAGAAGTTGGATGGGGTGTTCAGGGAATGACTTAGTAAACAGAGACTCCCAGAGATCCGACGCCCTTGCCCAGTATTCTGTTGCTTCTTTGCATCGGATTAGGCAGTGAAGTAGGTCTTCCGGTATTTTTCTGAGCATATTGTGCATCGGTCGGAACTGTTGGGATCGTTCTTCCTTCTGCGAATGTGGAGCCACTGGTTGACCGGGAGTGCTACATAAGCTATCAGCMATTGGAGACTCCTGATTTTGACCGGCTTGATTGATTTATATTTCTTCCAAGGAATCTCTGTGATTTGGTCTGCTTCTTGACCGATTACTTTTGCCCATCTTCACCGAGTAGTCTTGGATTTCTGTTTTCGTGTATTTGTTCACTCCTGATGTCCATGCCCATTCTGCTGGGTCGAATTCTAACTCTTGGATCGCTGTGTCCATCCTAAAGATTGATTTGGGCCAGGMGCCCATAACTCTTACCTTCCTGAGCAGAAAGACGTCTAGATTTGTTCTCACTACATCCTTATCTACGATGGAGGCCGAACCCTGCACCGACAGCGATATTGGATAGGAGTTGAAAATTGCAACAGTGTTTGAACCCTGTTGTTTGTGTGAGAATTGATAGGCCCTTGAGGGGGGGATTTCCTGTAGCCGAACCCCCCATTCACCCGTTTTCCATGTTGGTGGGCTCTTTAAGAGATCTTTCCATCCTTCCGGAATGTTGCTGATGATGGCCTGTAGATTCCTCTCCYGTTGGTGACAGCCCTTGAGGAGGGCGGCAAKGTCARTGTCTGTTACCCAATCCYTTTTTTCTTCATTCCATAAATGTTCGATTTTCCARACTCCGTGCTTTATCCAGGATAGCCAACGTGTGCCTCTTGGCTTGAGAGAGAAGGGGTGATCACTTTCATCTCTCAACCAGGGGTTGCCAAAGAGGGGTTGCCTCAGTACCTCTTCTCTCGTCTTGGGCCTGCCGACTTTTTTCGGCATAATTTCTCTCCAGATCCTTAGCAGGGACGTCCAGTAGGGTGTGGGGGGTCTGTTCTCCKGGTGATTGTTACCTTGTCGGCGGTTTCTACGTCCTGTGCTGGGTGTCCATTCCTTGTTCATRACCCAGAAGAGACCTGRCATGTTTGTTGGTGTAGGTACCGGAGCTAGTTCTCTGATGCTATCCAGGGCTAGTTTATTCCAAGTTGTGCCTGGTTTTGTAAGCAGTTTAATGATCCATTTGACCTGAARKGCTTTGGTTTCTTGTTTGGGGTCGATGATCCCCAATCCTCCTTTACTTGGTTTCCTCGTGATGTAATGCCATGCTATCTTAGGGATGCAGTTAACTCTGTTGGGGTCACCAGACCATAGGTAGGCCCTTGCTACCAGATTGAGTTCCTTGATTGACTTGTCTGGTACAGTCCAGATTGAGGCTATATACCACATCATAGAAACGATAGGTGTTGAGGGTTAAGGCGCGTCCAAGCAGAGATGTGAAGGTGTTGCCCCACCTGCCCATTTTATTGATTTGTTTAGTCAGCATATTCTGGGCCATTTGGGGAGCAAAGCCTTCTTTTGTCATCAGGATCCCTAGGTACCGTGTAGGTGTTTCCGGTGTCTCCCAGGTCAACGCTGCCTCTGGGCCTTGGAGCTGTGGGGGTTCTTCCTCTGACAACCACCATCCAATCGTTTTTTTCCAGTTAATCTTCATTTCCGAGGCAAGTCTGAAGGCTTCCATAGCTCTTACTAGAGCACTGAAGGACGAGTCTGAGGCTCGTATGAGAACCGTGAGGTCGTCTGCGAACATTATAACTATTGGGAACTTTAGATGGTGGGCTGATCCTGCGTTGATTTCTGGCAGTCTGTGAATGGAAGGGTCTTTCCRTAGGAAGGAGGCTATCGCTTCCATAACGAAGAGGAAGATAGGGGGGGCTAAACGATCGCCCTGACGGACTGATTGTGAGATTGGGTAGCATTCTGATAGCATGYCGTTGACTTGTACACAGCCAATTGCATCAYTGTACAGGATACGTACCCATTTTCTGAAGATCGGGCCTACTCCCATCTTTTCCATACTCGAGTTTAGGAAGGCCCAGTTKACCTGGTCATAAGCCTTTTCAAAGTCAAAGAACATTATTGCTGTATTAATTCTTTTTTCTCTCACTTTGTTGGCTGCTTYGTTTAGAGTGAGTACATTGTCAAGAATGTATCTTCCCGGTATGAAACCTGTCTGATCTATATGGAAGCACTTGTCTGTAAGATCCAGGATTCTAAGGGSCAGGGTTTTCGMCAAGATTTTGTACGGCAATGTGAGTAGAGAAATGGGCCTGTAGTTTCGTACGTCTTCTTTGTCCCCTTTTTTGTATAGAAGTGTGACTACACTGCTGCTCAASATGTTCCCAAGGYCCCCCTTCAGCCAGCTGTCCTTGTAGAAGTTCAGWARATCACCCCCAAGAAGTGGCCAGAATTTCCCCCAGAATTCTTTTGTTAGTCCATCAATGCCTGGAGTTTTGTTGTTGTTCATACTTTGGACTGCCGCTTGTAGTTCCTCTAACGTGATGGGCTTGTCTAGAGCGTCTGCCTGTTCTTGTGAGATAGTTTTATCTAGGTATTGGAGCATTCTGGTCCGTGATTCTCTAGTACTGGGGGGAGTGGGGGTAGGTGTCTTTGTTTGGTAGAGGTCTTCATAAAACTCCTTGGCTATGTTTAGCATTCCTTTGCTGTCTTTCAGTGTCTCCGCTGTTTCCAAGAGGGTTTTGAGGCCCTCTATTGAGTTAGATCTTGTGTTTGCTTTAATCCTCGCAAAGAAGTGCTTTGACATTGACTCGCTGAACTCATACTCATTCATTCTCGATCTTATTTGTAGACCCTTTGATTCCCACCATCTCCATACAGCCAGCTCCTCTCTTGCTTTGTGGAAAATGTTTGTATAGAAAGGCGAAGATGGATTGTCAACTAAGTTGGACTCTGCGACCCTTAGAGCGGCTTCTAGAGCGATTTTTCGCTGTTTCCTATCGTTTGACATTTTCCTTGATATGTTGGCTGTTGTCTGGGCCAGTACGGAGTAGCTATCTTGGAACCAATCCCATCTGTCATGGATGGGGAGGTAGCTGCCTCTGCTATTCTGCCAGCTGTCCAGGATACCTTTTTCAAAAGATTGGCTTAATAGAAGCGAGTTGTTCAGTTTGTGAAAGCTGCAACCTTTCTGCACAAATTGTTCGAAACTGATGATTAGTTCAATTGGTTTGTGATCCAGCCCTGTGTAAGGCTGTAGGGGGAGGATGTCTGCCAGCTTGGTTGTTCCCATTAATGTTTCTGAAATCAAAAAATAGTCTATAAAGGAGAAGGCAGTGTGTTGGGCGTGGTTCTTCTTTACTAGGGTGAAGGCTCTTACTCCCGGGTGCAAGGTGCGGTATGGCTCAACCAGGTTGCAATCGAGCATCAAACGTTGGATAGGGAYTGC